AAGAATACCAGAAAGATGTTTACTTATGTTTTATTGACTATGCAAAGGCATTTGATTGTGTGGATCATGACAAATTATGGATAACATTGAAAAGAATGGGAATTCCCGAACACTTGATTGTACTGATGACCAGGAGGCTGTCATTCGAACAGAACAAGGGGACACTACATGGTTTAAAATCAAGATGGGAGTGCATCAGAGTTGTATCCTTTCCCCATACTATTCAATCTATATGCTGAGCAAATAATCCAAGAAGCTGGACTATATGAAGAAAACATGGCATCAGGATTGGAGAAAGAATCATTAACAACCTGAGATATGCTGATGATACAACTTTGCTTGCTGAAAGCGAGGATGACTTGAGGCACTTACTGATGAAGATTGAAGAACACAATCTGCAGTATGGATTACGTCTCAATATAAAGAAGACAAAAATCCTCACAACTGGACCAATAAGCAGCATCATGATAAATGGAAAAAAGATTGAGGTTTTCAAAGAAATCAGGTTGCTTAGTTCTACAATCGATGCCAATGGAAGCAGCAGTCAGGACATTAGATGACGTGTAGCACTGGGCAGGTCAGTTGCGAAGGAACTGTTTCAAGTGCTGAGGAGCAAGGATGTCTCCTTGAGGACTGAGGTGTGCCTGACACAGGCCATGATATTTCCACTTGCCTCTAATGCATGTGAGAGCTGGAGAATGAATAAGGAAGACAGAAGAATAGTTGATGCTTTTGAGTTGTGGTGCTGGCAAAGAATGGTGAAGGTATCGTGGACTGCCAAAAGAACTAACAGATCTGTCCTGGAGGAAGTGCGGCCATGATGGTCCTTGTAGGAGAAGATGGCCAGACTTTGTCTCACCTACTTTGGTCATGTTGTCAGAAGGGACCTCCCTGGAGAATGATGTCATGCTTGGTAAGGTGGAGAGTCAACAAAAGAGGGGAAGGCCTTCGACAAGTTGGATTGACATGGTGGCTGCAACAATGGGCTCAAGTATAGCAAGAATCATGGAGGTGGCGTGGGATCGGGCAGTGTTTTGTTCTGCTGTGCATGGGATCACTATGAGTCAGAAATGACTTGAAGGCACCTAACAACAACACAACAACAGAGAGAGAGAGAGATTCAGAGAGAAAATTTACTTCAAGGAAGTGGCTCACACAATCGTGGAGGCTGGCAAGTCCCAATTGATGGGTCCAGTGGCTGGCTAGAGACCTCTACTGGCTCACAGGGGTTGGGGGGACTCATGAACCCAAAATCTGCAGGTCAGATGGCAGACTGGAGACTTCTGGAGGCATATGTGCCAGGAACTGGAGGTCAAGAGACTGGAAGAGTGCAGGGTCAAGAGAGAGCAGGCTTTACCCGAACATCCGTTTATATCCTGGAGGCAGGCCACACTCCCAAGGACACTCCCCTTTGAACTGATCGGCTCCTCACATCAGATCACGGATTGGAAGGTGATTACATCATATTACATTGTGGAAGAGCAACCATTTCAGGGTCTGCCAAACCACTGAGAATCACAGCTGAGCCAAATGGACACAACATATTAACATATACCAAGCATAAAGCCAGCTTGTCTGAAGCCATGTACCTGAGTCATATCATATGCTCCCAGTGGCAGAACTTCTCTTGATTGCCACTGGCCTATTCTGATGGCATTGTATAAGAAATAACTCCATGAAAATTGTGCTGTGCTTACTTTAAACTAAACAATAATTCAGTTTAATTACTAAGATATTGCTGATGAGTTCTTCAGCAACAAATACTGATCTCCTGCTACATGCCAGGAACTGGTCCTGGTCCTAGGGAAACAACAACAAACAAAACAGTAATGGTCCCCACTCTCACGGAGCTCGCGTGAGTTGGTGATCTGTGCCAAGGAAGAAAACTAAAGCAGAATGAGGAGAGAGAAAATGATGGAGGGCGGTGGGCAGAGGAAGATTTAAAGCAGAGTGATCAAGAAGTCCTCTGTGATACACCAGTAGCCAGGCAGAGGCCTAACTGAAGTAATGGAACAAGTCACACAGCTGACTGAGGGGAACAGAATTGCAGCCACAGGGAACAGTAGCTGTAAAGGCTTTGAGGCTGGGCCATGCCGCACATGCTCAGAAAAGACCAAGGAATCCAGGGGGAGGGTAGTGGAGAGTGAGCCAAGGATGCAGCAGAGGCAAGGTCTCTTGTGGTCTTGAAGGCCACGGTTGGCCTTTGGGTTTCACTTGGCATGTAAAGGAAACACCACTGGAGAGTGTTGAGCAGAGAAAGAGCCAGGATTTAACTTCTGTTTAAAACACTGCTCTGCGCTTGCTCTTTTTAGACACTGATCCATGACAATTCGAAAAGTTAGATGAGAAGCTTAGGGGCTTAGAGTCTAAGTCGGTGGTGGTAGAACAACTTGGAGAAGGATGGTGAAAACACCTGCACCATTTGAATACTTGTCAGTATCACTGAGTCGTACGTGTAGGAAGTGTTGAAATGGTGTATGACTGTATGTTTTTACCAAAACAAAATTTTTAAAAATTGTAAATGGGCTAAAAGAAAAAAAATATTGCTCTGGCTTTTCTGTAGAAGGGCACAGATGGAAGCAAGAAGATAGTGAGGAGGCTGTTCCAGTAACTCAGATGAGATGATGATGGCCGAGAGTAGCAGAAAACCAAACAAAACCAAACTCACTGCCATGGAGTCGGATCTGACTCATAGTGACTCCTCCTTGGGTTTCTGAGGTGGTATCACTATGGAAGTAGATTGCTCAGTCTTTCCTCCACAGAGGCGCTGGTGGGTTTGAACCGCCAGCCTTCTGGTTAGCAGTCAGGTGCCTTAGGCACTACTCTACCAGAGCTCCTTGAGAGCCTCTAGAGTAGGAATGTGGGATGATAAATAAAACTCCCGTCACCATCAAGTTGGTTCTGACTCATAGCAACCTTGTGTGATAGCAACCCTATGTGACAAAGAACTGTCCCCATAGTGTTTCCGTGACAGTAAACTTTATGGAAAAAGACTACTGCGTCTTTCTCCCATGGAGGAGCTGTTGGGTTCAAAGTACTGACTGACCTTTTGGTTAGCAGCTGAGGGCTGAACCGCCACCATGACTTCTAGTGGAATGAGATGAGAAACAGCATAGTAACAGTTCTCCAGTGCCGGGTGGAGTCCATGCTGGTACCGATGGTTAAGTACTCAACCACCAGAGGTGCTCGGAAGAAAGGCCTGGTGATCTGCTTCCAAAAGAATCAGCCAATGCAACCCCGACAGCACACACTTCCCCTGTGACCCACATGGGGGCGCCGTTGTCAGGGGCGACTCCCTGGCAACCAGCAGCTACAGTTATTGGGCTGTTAACGTTGAATGTTTAGCACTCTCGTTCTTCATGCTAATGTTTATCATTATTACGCCTGTCAAATTCATCATGATTACGGGTTGCATGTGGGACGTGGGAGAAAAGTCAGGGGTGGTCTCATCGTGGGCAATCTGGAAATGGGAAAATTGCAGAAAGAGCAAGTTCTTTTGGTGACAGGAATTCACATGATTTACTGGAGTGTATGAGGAGTTCTGGTGGCATAGCGCCTAAGGCATCCAACTGCTAACCAGAAGGTTGGCTGTTCACACCCACCAGCCACTCCATGGAAGGAAGACCGGGCATTCTACTTCCATAGAGATAACACCTCAGAAACCCAAAGGGGGTCGCTATGAGTTGGAATCAACTCAATGGCAGTGAGTTTGGGTTTTGTTTATTTGTTTACAGTTTATCTGTTGTTTTCCAGTTGGTGTGTAATGAATAACTTCTGATTAGTTATCAAACAACTAAGGGGCAAAGAAATTAAACCGAGTCATATTCTGACCCATATTGCTCATTCCCATCAAATCAGATGGCTTGAAAGTTATTTCTCCAATCCGGAATGTGTTGCATTTGTTCTGCATTTGTTCTGGAAAGCACCAGGAAGGGAGGGCAGACCTCTGGTCTCCTAGGAGATAAAGCGGCCTTTTGTTTCTTATCCTACAGACGACCCCATCTCCCCCTACACGGGCTGGTTGTTGACAGTCACAGAGACCAAGCAGCCGCAGCCCTTGCCGATGCCTTGTACCGGGGGGTGCTGGGCACCCCTCGTTGACTACCTCCCCGAGACCATCACCCTGCGGGGCCCACTGCACCGGTAAGCAGCATGGACAGACAGGGAGAAACGCACTTGGTTTTTCCTGCCTTTTTCTCCCCATGAGAAGAAGGAAACCTATTCCAAGCCCATGACATGAAGTGACCATTGAAATCGGTTGGACCTGGCTGACTGCCGTGGTGGCACAGTTTGGGAATATGTTAACCAATGTGCCAAGCTGTTGGGGCCCTGTGAATTTTTCCTCGAGGCAACCTTGATGTGTGTATCAATCGGTAGACGTTTTCAGTTGTAAGAAACTTGAAAACCGGGACCTCGTCTTCTATATCTCATCATCCTTTACTCATATTACTGAAAAACAAAAACAAAAAAAAAAGACCAAACCAAATGCTGTCGAGATGATTCTGATTCCGAGTGCCCCACGTGGTCTCTAAGGCTGTCAATCTTTGCAGAAGCAAACCTCAAACCACACCCACTGCCTGGAGTCCATTCTGACTCACAGCACCCCTAGAGGACAGAGTGGAACTGTCCCACAGGGTCTCCAAGGCTGTCAACCTTCACAGAAGCAAAGCCCAAACCATACCCACTGCTGTGGAGTCCATTCTGACCCACAGCGCCCCTAGAGGACAGAGTGGAACTGTCCCACAGGGTCTCCAAGGCTGTCAGTCTTCACAGAAGCAAAGCCCAAACCATACCCACTGCTGTGGAGTCGATTCTGACCCACAGCGCCCCGAGAGGACAGAGTGGAACTGCACCACAGGGTCTCCCAGGCTGTCAGTCTTCACAGAAGCAAAGCCCAAACCACACCCACTGCTGTGGAGTCGATTCTGACCCACAGCGCCCCTAGAGGACAGAGTGGAACTGCCCCACAGGGTTTCCAAGGCTGTCAATCTTTGCAGAAGCAAACCCCAAACCACTTCCATTGCCTGGAGTCCATTCCGACCCACAGCGCCTCTAGAGGACAGAGTGGAACTGCCCTACAAGGTCTCCAAGGCTGCAGTCTTCATGGAAACAAAGCCCAAACCACACCCACTGCCGTGGACTCCACAGCAGTGGGTGTGGTTTGGGCTTTGCTTCTGTGAAGATTGACAGCCTGGGAAACTCTGTGGAGCAGTTCCACTCTGTCCTCTAGGGGTGCTGTGAGTCAGAATCGTTTCCATAGCAGTGAGTTTGCTTTGGGCTTTGCTTCTTTAAGCTTTGGAAGTCCAATGGGGCATTTCCACTCTGTCCTCTAGGGGCGCTGTGGGTCAGAATGGACTCCACAGCAGTGGGTGTGGTTGGTTTGGGCTTTGCTTCTGTAAAGACTGATAACCTGGGAAACCCTCTGGGGCAGTTCTACTCTGTCCTCTAGGGGCGCCGTGAGCCAGAATCAACTCCACGGCACCCAACAACAGCAGTTCACTCACATGGTGTGATTGGCCCCACTGGTGTTGTTTCTTGCATGGGGCCCTGTGATTCTCAGAAGTGGCGCCCCATTTCCCTGGAATACAGCCTTGCGTGATTCTGCCGCCAAGAGTATGGGTTGTGTTTCATTGTGACTCAGCAGTATGACCGTGTTCTCCCGGCCTCTGTGGAAGCCGCAGTAATCGCACATTTCCTCCATCAGGTGCAACATTGCTGTCATTTTTATGACAGAGATGGTGGTCGACCACAGCGTGAGAGAAGACTGGGCCCTCCACCTGCCGCTGTTACTTCACGCTGTCTTCTTAGGTAAGACTGGTTCCCAGAGGGCTTCTCCCAGACACACATAGGCGATCCCAAGTGACTTCTGTGACCCTGACTTCCTGCTTGTCTCGTTTCGGGAATATGTAGTTTTTTCCCTTATCTCCCTGCCCTTAGTGATATCTGCCCTAGAACTTCAGTTCATCAGACACTGTGAGAAATTGTCCTGTGCTATAAACATCTGTGTAGCGGCACTTCACAGTCTATCTGTAAAAACAGCCGAGCTAAGTCAGGGTTTTGGCAAGAAGCAACCAGAGTGCACTGAGGGAAGCATGGAGAACACAGAGGGCCAAGAATGGGCTTTAAAATACCCACTGTGGGCTCCCAGCCAAACAGAAGACAGGTGTATGAGCTGAACATTTACATCAGGTAGATACACTCCCTGGAGAGAACAATCACGGAAGAATAGAAGGGCTGTGTATGCACAGGGAGACAGATCAGGGGGCAGGAGTGCATGGAGGGAAGGACACAGGGAAGAGGTAACTATTGGGAGGAAGTGGGAGGGGAGCTGTTGCATTGTGGGAAATGGCAGTCAATGTCATGTGACAAAGTGTATTTGAGTTGCTGTATGGAAAATGGATTTCCTCTATAAACTTTCACCCAAATCACAATAAAATTTAAAAACAAAACACCCACTTTGGTGAAAAAGAATGGGAAGGTGAGCCAGCCGCAGAGTTCCATTAGGGAGAGGTGAATACAGTTGGAATCCTGGCAGAACAGGGAGATGCAGGGCAGACAGCACCCCGAGGAGGAACGCTAACCTTGTCAAATGCTACAGGTGGGTGAGGAGAAGTCCACCCACAGCATTCGGTGTGAATGTTTGATTTAAGTGGGAGGGTGATTTCCCTCTCCCGAGCCCAGCTCCTTTATGTTGGTAACACAGTCACAGAGGAAACCCAGTGCTCCCTCCACACACGTTCCTCTGGGTGTCTTGGAGCCGTTACTGTTCCTGGAGTGGGAGCCAGCCTCCTGCTGTCTGTCCTGAGCGCCCCCCCCCACCCCCCGCTCTGCTCCAGGTCTGGACCATTACCGGCCGGAAGTGTTTGAACACAGCAAAAAGCTGCTGCTGCACCTCTTGATCGCCTTGTCCTACAACAGCAACTTCCACGCCGTTGCGTCTGTGCTGCTGCAGACACGCGAGCTGAGCGAAGCCAAGACGCTCACCGTCCAGCCAGTGTATCAGCCCGAATACCTCTACACAGGTAACGGAGGAGGCGGGGCGGAGACCCCGGGTCAGCGTCACACGTGATGCCATGGCTTCCGGTGTTCTAAACCATGACATCACAGCCCGGTTGGCGGCACCCTCTCGTTGAGATGAATGTGCCTCCTGCAATTCTACGCATTGAGTATTTTTAAGGGTATTTTTGTTGCTATTATGGTGGTGTTGCTTAGGCTGAGTGTGCTTCTGTTGTTGGGTGACATCAAGTTAATTCCGACTCACTGTGACCCTGTGTGACAGAGTGGAACTGCACCACAGGGTCTCCAAGGCTGTCAGTCTTCACAGAAGCAAAGCCCAAACCACACCCACTGCCATGGAGTCTATTCTGACCCACAGCGCCCCGAGAGGACAGAGTGGAACTGCACCACAGGGTTTCCCAGGCTGTCAGTCTTCACAGAAGCAAAGCCCAAACCACACCCA